AGGTCTAGCGCTTGAATAATCAACATGCAACAGTTAGTGAAGAAAAACAAACAAACAAACAAAAAAAAAAAAAAAAACAATTAAAACAATTAAAAAAATTAAAAGTCAATAGACTACCATAAAAAATATGATTTTTTTTAATATTTTTTGAAGCCTTATATTTAAGTAATTTTTAATGAAATAAATAATTATTAAAGTGACTATTTTCTTATAAAACTAATTCTAATTAAATTACCAAGGCTATTAGAAAAAAATATTATCATTTTTGCTAATTTCTATGTTATGCCACCAATCATTGCCAATCACTTCTATACTTTTCTTCATCCATCACTCATTACTATAGCTATTAATCTAAAATATTTAATAGTTTTTATGATTTTAAAAGATAGTGAATTGATGATAACTGAGGTGTGGATTACAATCATCACAAGATTTTTTTTAAAAAAAGTCTGTTTTATTTAGTTTTTTTAAATTATTATTACTATTTTTAGCCATATTATACTTAAGTCATGATTTATTGATTTGCAATTTAAGAGCCTAAACTTATGTAATATAGCTAAGGCTGTTTAATACAATTATTTTTTAAAATGTATTTTAGTCTTCTTTTGTACCAATATGATGTAAATTCAGTCAAATAATTTTAAGCGATTGTCACAAAGTTCATATAAATTTTATATCTTTGAATTTTAAATCTTTTAAACACTAAAAAAATAACAGCGTGACTTTCACATTGATACTTAACCATGTATATACCTAATATATTACTAGAAAGAACAATTTAATTCTTTATTTCTAAAAATCAGTTATTAGACTCTTCAAAACCTTGTACCATAAATATATACATACATACATACATACATACATATATACATATATGAGCAAAAAGTACCAACTAAACTATTGATGATACTATTGCTTCATAATGTAACTTAAGTAATAAGAGAAATCTAATTCAAAATACTTACAATAAATTTTGTATATTTTAGTTTTAAAACATTTAATATATTTTTTAAAATTTGATCCAAATTTAACTTTTACTTGAATTTTTATATTTGAATAAATAAATAATGTAATAAGATAACACCAATATATATATATATATATATATATATTACATCTTGAGTTGAAAATATTCGATTTGATAACAATTAGGATGCTTTTATTTTTTAATTAAAAAATAACTATATACCAAGAAGAAATGTTTTTATTCTTAAACTTATTATTCTATTAGTTATATTAAAACAAATAAAAGATCCTAAACTAATAGCATTTAATTTGAATTGAGAATTAATTAGAAAAGAGTAGATTATGCTATTTATTTATTATTTTTATATAATTTTTTAATTTAATATTTTAATTTAAAATAGTAATAATGATAATTTTGAATCTTATATAAACTCATCATAATTTTTTATTTTAACTCATCATAAATATATTAATTTAAAAAAAAAAAAAAAAAAAAAAAAAAAAAAAAAAACCCCGAAGATTTTTAAGATAACTTTATTAATTATAACAACAAGTCTTATTTCCAATCTGTATTCTTCTTTCTAATTGTACAAAATTAAATAAAATTTGGGTAGCTCAACAAAACATTTATATTTGAGTTTCTTTCTAGTGTTATTTTATTCACTGTTATGTTATCTACTTAAATGGTTATATGACAAAACCATTTAATTGCAATTATTATACTTATAACAATTGATAAAGTTTCTATCGAAGTTACAAAATCTATTGAACTTATAAAATTTATAAAAAATAATAAAAAACAAAAAAAACAAAAAAAAAAAAAAAAAAAAAAAAAAAAAAACAGAAAAAACAAAACAAAACAAACTAATGGTAAAAGAAACTATTGTGCACCTAATAGCTTCCAAAATCAAGTGAAAATTGTAACAGGAGAAATGATTGATCTAGTTTTTTGGATTATAAATTAAAAAAAGACGTGTAGAAAATAATTATTTATATAAATAGCCATAAAAATATTAATATTGGAATAATATAAACATCATGGTCCTAAGAAGGTTTTTACAAGTGCTTCATTTTTAACATCGAGTATTTTTATCTTATTTCAATCATAATCAGATCAATGGATGATAATATTGTGATTTTTTCTTTTTTTATCAATTATTTTTACGAAACCAGTTGCATTAATAAATTTAAAATTAATTTATTTTTTATTTTTTATTTAGTTAAAGAAGGCTGCTAAAAAAAGTATATATATTAAGTCTTCAAAATGTATTTATTTATAAGTAGTGTACTTGGACGAATTTCAAAAAGCACAAGGTTCAAGAAAAATATCTTAAAACTGAAATTGTTATTTATATCTATTAAATTAAGCTTAATTCAACTACAATAACTAACTTAGTTGTAATAAAATAATAAGTAAATTAACTTATATATATATATATATATATATGTATACATTTAGAGTCCATATGAAAAAAAAAACAAAACAAAAACAAAAACAAAAAAACAAAATCCTTAATAAAGTTTATGAATTGATTCATCTACATTTATGTATTTTTTTTATTAGTTCAAATAAATATATATATATATATATATATATATATATATATAGATCTTGTTACATATTGTTTTTATAGATCTAATTTTCTTGGCTATGATACTCTTAATTGTTCTAATTGTAGTAATTTTTAAGTGTTTTACCAAATCTTATCATAAATAACAAAAAAAATTAAAAATTAAAAACTATTTTCAAAGCTTATAATTAATTACTTTTTTAAGATTTATATATATATATATATATATATATATATATATTAAAATTATTTTAAAAATTATTTTTATTTAAATTAATTAGATGTAAAATTTTGAATTGCATATGAATGTTAATATTATTTTGGTTCTATTTAAACAACCATATCTTTATTTAGAAATTTATTTTTTCTTTCAAGAAAAAATGAATTTAAATTTTTCTACATATATAATAAAAAAACATATTATGTTAGAACATTGATGTTGCAATGGTTGTTTTTACTATAAATTAGAAAGATTCTAGAAATAACAATAAGTTTAAAACTACTAAAATAGGATCTAGTCATTTTTTTAAATATTGAATTGAAGCATTAGAATATCAATTGTTTAAAAATATTTAAGGTTGTTTTTGTACCAATTGTATAAGATTGATGAAAAAAATCTAAAAATTTGAAGGCTACAATTGTAGGCCACATTATATATAATCTAAGTAAAAGACCACAAATACAGTCTATAGTCTATAATTTACTTACAAATTGTTATTAATTAGCTAACAATAAATTTCAATTGGTATATATAATTTCATTTAATATTCTTCCTGTAAAGTTCATTTAAATTTTCTTAAGCTTGATTATGTACATAAATTTATTCTAAGATTAAAAAAAAATAAAATTATAAACATGTATTTTTTTAATTTTTTAAAATTTGTTTCTTTATTTTAGAAGAATATATTAAAATATTGGAATAAATATTATATTTTGTGCTACCACTAATTTTTTTTAAGAGTTAAAAACAAAAGTTCTATTACCAAAATTTATAAATTATATTATAGTTGATTTAATTATAAAAATTTTATTTACTTAAAAAAAAACTACTAGGTCTTTTGGAAATCTTATCACAATTTTTTTGCAATATAAAAAGAATTCAATCTGAATTGGTTTGCAACTATAAAATTAAGAAAATCAAAAAATCAAAATCAAAATCAAAATAAAGTTTAAAACAAAACAAATAAATCTAAGATAACTTTAAACTATCCTAATAAATAACCAATTACATAACTTTTTAAGGTTGATAATTTAATTTTTAGTTGCAAAATCTTAACTCTAATAATGTGTATATATATATATATATATATATATATATATATATATATATATATCAATTTGTATAAATTTTCTATTATAATTATGAAAAGAAATTTAAAAAACAAAAAGTAATAGAAGAAAATAAAATATTTTTCTTATATAGAATGGTCTTGTTGTCAAGATAATAATTAGCTTCAAGTCTAGGTAGGTTGAGGGCTTTGAGACCATTTCCATATTTTTAGAAACAAGATATCTTTGTTCATAAAATCCCATGACGTATTAACTACTTCAATACAATAACCCTTCTAAGAATAATTTGCATATAGAAAATTCGGATACAACTAAATATTTATTTTTTTAAGCAACATGTGCAAAAGATTTACAATGGTGTTAATTAATGTCGACTACTTTGAAAGATTATAACAAAATTCAATAAAAAAGAGACTTACAGTAAAATAAAATTAAAAACATCCAAATCACAAATTTTTATTCATCAAGAAATGCAACAATTTGTAGATTGCAAAGAATATTGTTAAGATAAAACCAAGAATAAAAATCTGAAAGAATCCTAAACAATAATATAATGAGTATTGTTTAAACAACTCCATGATCTATATTTTTCTAAGAGTTTTAGACTCCTTGTAAGTTTGGAAGACTAATCTAAACCATTGGGCATACCCTATTCTATGTCGAACAAAGGGAATTGCTAAATAGACCCAAGCATTTACTAAATAAACCCACCTATCATCATTGATCGCATATCCAACCATCTTTTCATTGATTTTTGACCAATACAAATCTAGCAATGGAAAACTTTTTGATGGTGATCATGACACCTGGGTTGACTTAGTAAATGTCTGGGTCAATTTAACAATTCCTTAAGCATATACAACAGCAACAAAGATATATATAAATATATATTATTAATTTAATTTAATTAAGAACTTGAGATCACAATTGGTCGGAAGGGGTCTTCAGATTTTCGTAGCCACTCGGACGACGAGCCGCGTCGGCCGCGTTCGGTCGCGGCGAGCGATGATGCCAGTGGTCGCGAGCAACATGAGATTTGGAGCACCATCCAGCGCGTGTGCGATATCCAACTGGAGCCATGGCCATCCAATCGCTGCCTCGGCTGCGATTATGCGGCTGCGCCATCTGCCTCCTCCTCCTCCAATTCTTATACTTCCCCCTCGTGTCCCTCTGTAGCAGCAATCACTCACTCATTCCTCCACATCTGTGAAGAAGTCCTTCCCCGTCTGCACCCAGTCTTCGCGATGGCCGCCGCGACCGCCATGCACTCCACCACCCTTGCAGGACAGTCCCTGCTGAAACCCGTCAATGAGCTCTCCCGCAAGGTTGGCACGAGCGAAGCCCGTGTGTCTATGCGCAAGTCCTCTGGCAGCGACAGCATCTGGTGTGTTCTAGACGCCCTCTACCCCCTCGGAATTCGACCTTGATTGCATTGCCCACATTTCGCTGCAGTCCCTGCGAATAGTTGTGATACAATGTGCGCAGCGTAGCGTTGTGTTGCGGACGATGCTTACATGGTGCTGTTGTGTGTGTATCGTAGGTATGGTGCCGACCGACCCAAGTTTCTGGGCCCCTTCTCTGGCGAGACCCCCTCGTACTTGAACGGTGAGTTCGCTGGTGACTATGGGTGGGACACTGCTGGACTCTCGTCTGACCCTGAGACTTTCGCTCGCAACAGGGAGCTTGAGGTCATCCACGCCCGATGGGCTATGCTTGGAGCTTTGGGGTGTGTGACCCCTGAGCTTTTGGCCAAGAACGGTGTGAAGTTCGGAGAGGCTGTGTGGTTCAAGGCCGGAGCTCAGATCTTCAGCGAGGGAGGTCTGGACTACCTAGGTAACCCCAGCCTTGTGCACGCACAGAGCATTTTGGCCATCTGGGCTTGTCAAGTTATCTTGATGGGAGCCGTCGAGGGCTACCGTGTTGCCGGTGGGCCTTTGGGTGAGGTGACTGACCCCATCTACCCTGGTGGCTCATTCGACCCCTTGGGCTTGGCCGATGACCCCGACACCTTTGCGGAGTTAAAGGTCAAGGAAATCAAGAACGGTCGTCTGGCCATGTTCTCGATGTTCGGATTCTTTGTCCAGGCTATCGTCACCGGAAAGGGACCCTTGGAGAACCTGAACGACCACCTGGCTGACCCCGTCGCCAACAACGCCTGGGCTTACGCCACCAACTTCACCCCCGGCAATTAGATTACGAATTTGTCGAAATGATATTGGTTGTAGCGGTGCGACGTTCAAGCGAACGTGGTTTGTAAATGTGATTTTATTTTATCTAGCCGAAAATCAAATCTGATTTCTCTTCCATAGCCTCCTTCTTGGATGGAATGAATGTGCAACCCCGGATGTTTGACCCATGACTCGGAATTCGCAGCGTGTTGCCAGAGAGTAAAAATTCCCTCGAATGGTTATGAGTTATCATTTAAGGCTTTCAACCCCCACATCTCTTTCGAGTCGTTATTTGTCGAGAACTTAAACCAAGTTATCAGTAACCCATCTACTTGTATTACTTTCTATCCCTCAGCATCAACTCAGAGCAAGAAACATATTCCCCGTTAGCAAGAAGTTGACATGTAAAAACAAATTTCAACGTAACTCTTAAGCCCACAGACACTGAATTGAAATAATTTTCCCGTTAAATCCCTTCATTATATCATACAATACAATGTATTCTGTACACATAATCTCAAAATACGTTTCCTACCCTTTGTTAACCTGCCAAACATTATAAAACTACTTTCTTTCAAACCGGCAACTTTCATGCAAATTCGTAACCTTCAAAGTTGTCATCTACATTGACACACATTCCAATCCTGTAATACAAAATTTTCTAATTAAGCACTCGCACCATATAATATGCGAAATTGGGCGGAGAAAACAATGCCCACTTGGTCCTTTCAATATGCCCAAAAACATTGAATTACACCCGGCGTTGGATGTGTGAATTTTAATGGTTAGATGAATTTCTCTTCAAATCTACGTTCAGAAACTTGTAAAAACTATCCATGCTGCAGTCAGTGGAAACCCATGTCAACTTGCACTGACAGATCCTATCTTTCTTAAATTGTGTTACGACCATTTATGCAAATGAATATGCTGCGACGGTTCTACACCTGTTCCTGCTCTATTAAAAACTACAAGGCTATTGATGTAGGGGACACTAGCCAGGTTGTGTGCAGCCATTCCAATTCCAAGCTTCAGAAAAAGTAGTTGGGCATGTGGAAGTAGACAATACTGGAAAGTGCAATACACTGCTGGGGTGTAAACAATGTGGATGTGAGTGGATGTCAACGGAAAGAATGCCAGGGGGAAACATAAAATCGTGTTCACTGCTTACCCTCTAAATGTGCACCTCAAGTTCCAGTCATACGAACGAAGCTGGCGGAGAAAGGAGGATAGTGTCTCCAAACAGTAGTACAAGTTTTCAAGCAACACAGTAGAGAATGAATGCAGCTTCATGAACTAAAGCTGGATGTGCAATAAGGATCTAAAGATGAACGCTATGTTACATAATATATTCTACAAGTGTTTACAAGCATAAATACTAGACCTCAGAAGTGCTGCGAAGCCGTGTATCCGATCTCCAAGACAAATGTCTCAAAAGAAACGAAAACTTGATTGTAAGCACTGTTGGCTAGATTTTATTGCACGTGAAGAAACTATATTACAAGGCAGCCTTTCTTGCCTACCTATAACAAACCAACCAGCAACTTTCGTTGCTCTGTTTCATGGGCCACAAACTGATGTACAAATACAAACGTGGGCACACAATGTGTTTTAATCCCAATTCATAACAAGGGCTCCACTAACAGATTTTAGAAACACTTAACCAAGGCCTTATCAATGATGCATACCTGGCTGTGACATTGGATACGACATATGGGGTGCCATTCCCATCTGCTGACCAGGCATCACAGGCCTTGGAAGATGTCCCCTGGGTCCATACGAGACGTGCCCTGGAGGTGGCAACATAACGGGAGCACCAACAGCCGGTGGTTGGCCAATCATTTGCTGACCAGGATACATTCCTGGTTGCATCCCCCCTGGAATTGGTTGCCCCGTAGCAGAGCCGGGTCCGGGCTGACCAGTAATAGGGCCTTGCCCTTGTTGAGCAGCATCTCCATTATTCACACTTGTGATATCATGAATACTGGATCTTCGCTTATCTTTGTTGATGGAATTCAATCTTATGAAGTACTTCTGAGCGTGACTTGCAACCTGTGTAGGAGTTCTTGAAATAACAAAATTCCGAGATATACTCCGCCAGTCACCCTTTCCAAATTTGGCCAATCCTAACAAAAATAGCCTGCAAAGACAATATCTTTTGAAATTACGCCCATCGGTTCACACTTTAAAATTGTGGTCAACAAATCAAAACGGACTTTTAGAGGATGCTAAGAGAAAAGAAGTCGCCGGGAGAAATCAATTCAAGAATAGAAATAGCATTCAAATTGTATAATTCCTTCGATCAATTCATTACATGAATTGCTCCAACTACTTTGTGAGGAGACACTTGTGATTTACGACTATTAATATTCATAAACTACTCTATTTCATCCCTTCTATATCCCTTTCATGTAGAGCAAAGAACAAGTTACTGAAGCATGGTTTCGACAAATCTCAGAGCAGTTTTCAAGTCATGTCGAAAACCTGTACTTCATCCTAAACGTAAAAGCCCCTTCCGACACCATTTCTATGAAACATGCGACCCCGAAGCTAACTGCTGTTTGACTCTTCACTGATTGTGAACGTATGAAAAGTAGGACAAAAAATGTACTTTTTAAATGTACCATGTTCATGAAAAAAATATTTAATGGAGTATTGTGCAAATCCCACCTGTGTTCCTCTTCTGACCAAGGAATACCCTTCCTCCGCTCTTGATCTGCGGATTTTGATGACATGCCCTTCCCACCCAACGCAGCATTTCCATTGCCATTAGCATTCGCGCTAGGTCCTGATACTTGCCCAGAGAACGAGGTCCCTTTTTTCACACCTGGACTGTCAGATGCTGCTCCCTCCTCAGATAACGAGAGGGACGACAAACTGTAATTAGGAAGTGCAACTCGTCCTGAGTCTATCAAATTAACATCCTCTTGCAATATTTCATAGTGCCTCTTAACTTCAGCTGCGTCCTTCCCAGTCACCACTGCCGCAATCTGTTCCCATCGATTCGGAGTATCTTCATCAAAGTTGTTTAATGCATTCTCAAACTCTTTATCTTGTTCCCGCGTCCAAACTGAGCCCGAAGCAGTCGTAAGAGAGGACTGGGATTCCGCCATCCTTGAATAATACGTCCCTTGCCTCAAACCAACGAAACTACACTTCACCGACCTCGTAAGACCTGCAGCCACAACCTCCCACCGAGCTATATTGCTCATTAGGTGTCCGCATACTTCAAAACTTCCTTCTAACAGCGAAAACTACGAGGGGCAGGGGAAGGAACAAAACCGAATGGTATCAGCGAAACTCCCTCCCTTTTAGAAGAAACGCAAAATCCACTTAAATGAACAAAAGTACGGCATGTAGTTCAAAAAAATTACGTGTTCCCCGTAATGCCTTTCACTTCACAAGGCGTCCACAAACCTGATCTAGAAAAATCTCCCCTTAATTTCACTCATCCGTGTCGGATTTAGAATCCAGTCCGAGCAAACAAACCCCAGTCGGAATAAACGAACAAAAAATGGGAAATATACCCCCTGTCTGTGGCACGAGACGCAGAAACAAACCTGCTCACCACCACTCTTCTGTCGTTCTTCCAGCTCCCTGTCCCCTCTCTCGACAGCCCGAAGGGGCTCAGTTCCCGACGCAAACACGTGACATGGCTGAGAGGTCCAATGCAAATCACCCGAAAACGACTTGGCCAAGAAGACAAGGCATTGCAAAACTCGAGTCAGCAGAGGAGGGAAAAAACTGTGGAACGAAAACAGAACCCCCCCGCGAACTCTACCTCAAGCCAAATCTAGCAAACAACGCGAAGGCACCGAGACCTCCGAAGTTGAAACCCTAAGAAAAATCAATGATATCATTCTTCCACAGTCCCCCATGTAAAGCAGCAGCACAACAGCACCAACAAAACAGAAAAAAAAAAACAAAAAAAAACAATACCCCGACTCCATCTCCACTCTCACTATCCCTTCCCACAACTAGAACGGCGACTCCTCCGTCGTTGATACCCGCCCTTCGATTTGATACCCGTTCCCCCCTCCTCAGATGTTATCCGTGTGTGTGTTTGTTTATTTGTTTGTTTCTTCCATTGATGGGTTGAGGCCCCAACTCAAGCTTACAATCTTATTATTTTGCCCTAACATATGTTTCTTGCATTTTAATTCTTGAGTTGGAGTTTCTCACCAAGTTTTACATAGAGGAATAACTAATAATAGTAACTAATACTAAACTACACTCCAAAGTTGTTTTCAGTATACATTGTGTTAATTTTCTTAATGATTTTGTATTTATATTTCTTTTGATTTCAATTTAGGATATATTTTGTTTGTAGGAGAAAAATGGCTTATTATATATTTTATTTTAGATATACAACATGAATAATGGTTTTTCCTTTTTGAGTAATATATGAATTCGATGGATAATAAATGATTTTTAATTAAAAGGCGATACCACCAAATTTATGTTTTTCTATGAAAATTTGTTCTTTGAATAATGCTCTGACATCCAAAAGGTGGATAAAATTTATTAATCTCTTGACAAGTGAAGATACTTCATATAAACTTGCTTCAAGTGAAAAAAATCTATCAAGTAGCTTCTCTTTTCATTTTTCTTTCATTGTCTATGTATATATATATATATATATATAATCACACACATATCTACACTAAACAATATATTTAGATATGTGTGTATACATACTAAACATTTTTTTTTTTTTTTTTCTCCTCAGCCATTCAAGATTTTATTTATATGAAAAAAATGCATTCTAAGCAATATTTAAATTATAAAACATATTATAATATAAATGAAATGGTCGCATGAGCAAGAGCAACAATGACTACAAATTTATAAAATAAGACGCACATCTTTCAAATGGATGCATTTACATGGGTGAATGCGGTGCATATGTGAGTTCTCATCCATCGCTAAATTGGATGAGCGACGTTGTCAAGGAGAGTGTGCCCCCCTTCGCCGACGCTGCGACGACGATCACGTCGGTAACTTATAGCTCGTGATTGTCGACTTCGCTGCCAAAATCTTGGCAAACCCACAATCGGACGCGCGAATTTCCCCCTCTGCTGCGATAGAAAGTGAAGCCCACAACCTGGATTTCTCGAATCGGTCGCCTTCGGAGAACAAAACTGTCGCTGCCGCGTTGGTCGTAATGGAGTTGAGTCGTTTGTGGGGTTTGGGGGCGGTAATGTTGATGTTGCCGACGCGCTGAGCCTGGTTTATGGAAAGGTTTCAGGAGGAAATAAACGAGCTGGCGCATTGAGAAGATCAGTTTTCGTGGCATTGAATTGTGCGCATGCAAAGAAGACATGACGTGGTGGAATTTGATGGTTAAGTTGTGCTTTGGAGCTTGTCTTGTTGGTTCTGCGTCTGGTGTGTTTTTAATTACGTTTATGTGGCTCCGTAGTTTATGTTCTTTCGGCCTTGTTGGGTAGTGGAAAGAGATCGTGCTTTTGAAACCTGGAATTGTTGCATCCTAGGTCTGTTGCAGGATACTCTTTGAAGGGTAACCATCTCGGTACATTGTGACAACCTTGTTTTGATTGCCTCCCATTGTTTGGATTTTAGCGAGGGATTTGAATTTTCCACAATGGAAGGGTGAGTTGGTTGTGCGCTTGTGCGTTGAATTCATGAGAAGCGATCGTTGATTCTGGCAGAGTGAAGAACAGTGTTAAGGCGCAAGGTTCCAGGTGTTGCTGTTACAAGAGTTTATATTTGAGAAGAAATCCCACACTTTTCTAGGTCTATTTAATTTTCGTGGTTTCCACGATGGCTTCGCGAAACTGGGTGCTGATACTGGCTGTGCTGCTCAGTTGTCTAGATCTGGCCTTGGCAAAGGCACGTAAAGGTGGTTTGCCGAATCGAGAAGAGCTCGACTCGAAGTACCTGTTGACGAATCAAATTGTAGACCTTACAGCGAAAGTAGACAATTTGACAACGATTTTAGAGACCCATGTAAACATCCTGAAGAGAAAAGATAGGAAAATAAAAACCCTGGAGGAGGAGCTCCAAAGTTATCAGAATGCAAAGAATACTGCCAATGCCGACTTGGCCGCGAAGCTCGTGGCGGCGACGAAAGAGAATACCGACCTTAACCTTCAAGTATCACAATTAAAGGATGAACTTGAGAGCATTAAGGCAGAGAACTTTGCATACTGGAAGCGCGCTGAACGTGATGAAAAAACTCGCAAACTTATTGACATCGAGAAACAGAAAATCTTGGAGAATGTCAATCAAATCAAAATTAAGTTGAAGAATACTTTCCAGAGTGCTGGTTCTTGGTTACATCCTTGGTTAGCAACCGAAGCTGCTATGTTGCACTCGCTCGCGACCTCGAGGTGGGCATCTCACGGCGCGCCGCTTGTGGAACGTGTCCAGCGCCTGGAAACTGTCAAAGCTGCACAAACTCATAAATTCTCGAAACTCTACATGCAGAAACACATGCTGAACTTTAGCAGGAATGTGCGGCCTGTGGTGTGTTCTCAATGGAAGAAGGTCAAATCAACAGTTCTTCCTCAATATCATGAAGTCAAGAAGCTTACTTCACAGCATGTTACATCTTGCAAGAAGTATTTGTCACCCTATCTATCCAAGGTATGGTTCTCGCCGACGAAATTTGAGGTTATTCTCACATTCCACCCTATTGAGAACTATATTGTAAAATTAGAATGAATTGCATGTATCATCTATCACAAACTTTATCTTGACTGCAGTCACATTTCGCAGTTAATAGCATGACTTTGTAATGTTTACGAATTGCAACGAAGCACAACAGATAGTTTGCATTCTTAGTTTACTGGATGATTTAGTCCCGTTTCTCCCTTTGTTTTGGTGTCCGTTTCAAAGCCTTATGAAGCTCTGGTCCAGCCAGTCTGGGATTTCATTACACGGTGCCCCAGACTTATTTTGTACCCTTCAATCACCAGTTTTGGACGATTCTGTACATGGCATGGTTTGTTAAATCTATGGAATTAAAATTAAAAGTAAAAAAAACAGCAGTTCCTTATGAAAGGAAAATCGATTGCGTTCAACAGCTGTGCGAGGAGTGATGCCATCTAGTGAGTGACAAGTTTTAACAATCTCGTGGGACTCAGATGCAGGAGACATTAGAGCCATATATGCAGACAGTGGGGAAGAAGGGCCAACCCTATGTGGAGAGGGCAGCCAGTTTCTTGAGCCCCCATTTTGATAAAGCCAATGTCATTGCTGGACCCTATGTAAAGCGAGTGAATGATCACTACCAGTTTGTGGTAACGCAGTCTTCAACTCTCCACGAGCAGCTTCAAGATTCAGTCAAGGAAACCATGAGCAAGCACGAAATGCTGTCTCTCTGGGCCACCAAAGAGCTAATCTGGTATCTTAGTTCTGCATTGCTGGCCCTTCCTGTTGTAGCGTTTCTTCTGGTGTTCTCTTCCGTCCTTGGAAGTACGAACGTCCATGGAAGCAAGAAGCCCATTAGAAAACATCGAAGTTCAAGCCCTAGTCAGTACACCAGCCCATATAGCAATACTAGAACTCGTCGACAGAGACAGTTGACAGAGTTTAGGAGAAACGAGTTTGTGTATATGTAGAAACCAACTAGCGTAAGGGCGACGTGGAAATTTGGCTTTTGTGGTGGCAGGTTTGTGATTCCTTTTTCTTGGAAGGAGTATTAGGAGTGTGATCCAACATACGCTGAATGAAATTGTATTTGTTAGTATACAGGTGAGGGTTGCAGGTCACGTAGAAAGCCATCTTATGAAGTATTTCTGTTATCAAGTAAACATGGGAACACTAGATGCTCAACGTGCTAAAATCACGGTGCTGGTCTACAAAGTATTTGCTGAATGTTTACTGCTGCTATCTTGCCGAGTACACAAATCGGTATGCGTAGGTCTGGGGAAGAACTCTTAGGATTGTAGATGTTGAGGAATTTTTGCAAGAAAGATGAGCCACTGGTTCCATTTAAATGCAAAAATTCTCTTATCTGTCCAAATGTTACGAAATATTGTTGATGTTGAACACTATTGTTGGGAGAACAATGAGAACCAAGTGAGAATTAATATGTACACTCTGCTGAAACATACAAGAGCTGATTAAGCCCAAAGTGTGGTAGACTGACGGAAATATTCTTCGAAATGGGCAGCAATCCGATATCACTAACAGTATTGACGTTGTTGTATTAATAAAAAATTCATATTTTGATCAAATTACTGATGGATGTAGGCTCAAAACTGAAAACTTTTCACTGCCATTAATGAGACTAAATAGCTGGCACTAGAACTGAAGTTTTTTACCTGACGGAGACCTTTTTTCCAAAAGAATGCCTATCAACCCCTACCATGCGGTCCACTATGCAACGCATCACCCAACACGCTGCACTACACTTATCGCACCATTCGATGAGTCTGAGCTCCAGTGTTGTTATTGAAGCTCTTATTCCATCGGTTCAGAATAATGATATACACTGGGCAGCTTTGCTATTATACATGCGACTTCTCTCAGGAATTCGGACGTGGAAGTTGAATGATGTGAATGTAAGGGAGTTAGCCAGGGATCGACTTACTCTTCCTCTCCGATCAACAACTCCATCCAATACAGTTTTTCCGATTAGCTCCACGACGCCCAGTTGGACTCTTCTCCGGAGTCAAGATGTGGACAAACTCGTCATCACGCATGCCCAGAACTGAACATACTCGGAAGTAAAGCATGATGTCCTAGTTGCATTCATCAGAGCCGGAATGTGAGGTCCGAAGTTGAGGCTCCGGCACTTCGAGACTGGTTCCCCCAGAAGATAGTGCAGGAACTCCATCGGTGCTACAGATCGATAAGTTGTCGACTTCCAGAAGTTCAACTTACGGGTGTGCAGCAGAAGCAAGTTAAGCAGCAGAAATAGGCGCCGCTAGAGGTGGTGCGGCATCCCTACCGATTCTGGTAGTCCTGCAAGGAACCCATTTGAGGAGGAGTGCCGAGCCTGAAGCCTTCCGCACGCTCTTCACCGTCATCTTTCGCTGGTCAAGCGCAACAAAGGACTTGTTAGAATTGTCTCGCGAATCGCAACGTGCAGACAGACAAGAAGTTGTACAGGTTACGATCTTAACTCGTCTAGAAATGTGTCTGAAATTCACAAAATCATCCGAGTATCTTCAGATTTCCTAAAATCGTCAGAGACTAGAGACATACCATTAAGAATTCAGACTTAGGCGTCTCCCTTTTCCAACAAAAGGAACCTTCAATCGGAAGCCCACGTTGAAGATCTGCAAACCTGGTTCCAGCCATAAATTGTATGAGATGGGCAAAAAAACTTCCACAAATACTCATCATTTCTGATTCAATCTCCCCTAACCGGGACTCTATGAAAGCAAGAGTGAGTAAGAATCCGAGTCCTTACAGGCTATTCCGTTGTTCGATTGTTGCCATCAAGGCAGGGTTGTTACGATACTGCATCGCTCGCTGCTTCAGAATTTTTTGTTTTGCTGATTGGAGGTCCTCAATCTCACTCTGGGGTTCCTCCATCATGGTACTCAACGGTTTCTTTTCGCACGATTTCATTTCCATTGAACCTACCCCAGAATCCCAAACCTCACCACCGAAACTGCTGGAGCCTTGACGATAATCCAGACCTATGTCCAGACTGACTTGCTTAGTGAGTTTGACACCGCCGGACCGCTTCGCCTTGCGTCTCCGTCTCGGTGGTAGTCGGCGAAGATTGATACCACTGATTTCCGAACTCTCTTGGGTAGCCCCGACCTCCGTCTCCTGGATCTCGATGGCGTGATGGCGCCTTCGAGTTTTGGCACCTCGTCTTCGACGACTCCGTGGCGGAACTGCCATTTGGACGTCAGCATTGGCACCTTCGTCAACAATCCCCTTGTTCTTGGGTTCAGTTGATGGACCAGGCTGCATGTCATCGATCGTCTCGCCGGTGGGGGCGTGATTGGGATCTTCAGGCACGACCGCGCTCAAGGCAATTCTGAGCTCCACGGCTGTGCTGAGCACTGCCTGTAATGCAATGCAAATGCTTCGCCATGACCGCTCGGCTTTGTGCTTGTCACGAGCATGATCGAATTCCAATTCCACCACAGAACGCGTGCCATCTAAAACCATTACAACACGTGTGGGTCAAATACAGACACCATTCCCGCGGGGCAAGTTTTGCTAGCTTAACCCTAGATACAACTAATCACAGAAAATACAATCATGAGATACACAGGGACATAGAACGAACGTATGCTTACCTACAAATACGGCAGCTGCGACAAGCCGCCCTTGGGTCTGCAGAAGATGTTTCAAATTCCTGTTCATTGGCTGCTGGATGACACGCTTCCAAAGCTCAGCCAAGGCTTCGTTTCCAAACACCTGATACTCCATAGAGACCTCAGACGGACGTCTGATCTCAGCACTCTCTGCAACACCGTCAGTGGAAACACGCTGCTCCCTAGTCCAAGCTTCCTCCGAGTTCTTCTCGGACGACGTCGCAATCTTCGCTTCAGCACTACGAACCTTCCTGTTTTCTACTTGCATTTGAAGCGCTTGAGACTGTGCAGTAATCTCTGGAGCTTGGGTCTGGTCTGGTTCGTCGAGTGATGGATGTGATGCTTTTGACACAGAGTAATCAACAGCTGGTGCCGTTGAAACAGGACTTGACGCTGCACTTGTGTTAATTTCGGAAGGAAGAAACGACCGATCTGGAGCGAACTGTAGAAGCGCAGCTGTCAGCCATGTTGCCTGATCCGTCGACACGCGCAGCTGCTTCTCTGCTTCCGAAAGAATTTTCAGCGCTTCTCGGAGCCGGAGATGTTCCTGCTTGACAGCTGCATGGAGAAACCTCCGAATTTATAAGAACTAGGATGCAGCCAGAACTCTCATCACTAAAATTCATCAAATGTAGGACATGGGATAAAATACAGATGGCAGAGCTTACGGAGGGACACTCACAGAGATTTCGATTGAAGAACCCCTCCTTCCGCGCTTCCTGATGCAAATCGAAACTACCAGCGAGAATATCCGTAATTAGAGCACCTAGTTGCGACACCAACGACAAAGGCTCCACGCCAGAGATGAGAACCTCACGCATCGTCCGAACAGTATGCACAGCATCGGCTGACAGAGCATAGTCTAGCAGTTCCAGAGTCTTATTATTCGGAAGCAAGCCCACCTGATAATAAAGAATGAAATAGAAAATACAAGTAAAAATTAGCAGAATCCAACCGCACTTGGCACTTAATTTTGCAGCAGGAACAATGATGAACACCCACCATAAAGTCTCGCACCCACTAGAAATGAATGTTGTAGGAGGGGGCTTACAAGCTCATGAACAGACGAAATTGAGACATTCCTGTCCAAGAGACAGAGCTGGTCAAGAAAGATCTCAGCGTCGCGAAGTGACCCATCCGATCTCGCCGCAATGAGATCCAATGCCCCTACCTCGACGTGCAAATCCTCTTTGGTCGCCAACAACTCCAGTCGACTTACAATGTCAGCATCCTTCAATTTGGAAAAATGAAATTTCTGGCACCGGGAGAAAGCAGTCGAGGGGATACGCTCCGCATCGGTGGTAATAAGAATGAAGACCACATTACGGGGCGGCTCTTCCAACACTTTTAGGAATGCATTCCAAATGTCAGAGCTCAGCAAATCACACCCTTCCACAATGAACACCTTATACTGCGCATGCGGCGTGAAGCTCCCCATCATAGCGCGCATGCTCGCCGCGTCGATATTCGAGGCAGCGTCGATCTGTCGTACATCGGCGCTCCGGTTGAGTTTCATTGTCCCACACTCTCGGCATATCCCACATGGTCGTCTCGCACGATCAGGCGACAAGCAGTTCAGTCCCGCTGCGAAAACCCTCGCAGCCGACGTCTTCCCAGTACCTCGGGGGCCCATGAACAAATACACCGGCGCCACTTTCCCTTTCACAATTGCGGTCGACAAAGATTTTACCGCCACGTTCTGACCTACAATCTCGTTGAAATTTTTCGGCCTGTACTTCTGATTGAGCGTCCGAGGCCCCTCAGAATGACTGGTAGAGGCTGTCTGCAAAATGGGGACGTCCTTGACGGCATGTTGAAGCGACGCCTTGCGTTTACCGCTGCCCTTGAGGTTCTGCGGCACCACCTGAGACCTCGTTTCGATGTAGTATCCACCCAGGTCACTGTAGCGTGCGTCCTCGCCGATTAAAAGTGGTAACGCATTGGCATCTGAGTCCAGAGATGAGATCGACTGCGACGGGAAGTGGTGCTCAGCTGTTGGGACGTTCACGTCGACGCTACGCGGGGGTTTCGACTCCGAAACCGCACCTGCCAATTCTGTCATGCCGAAGAAGTCTTTGCCACCATACTCTTGACTCCGGGACCAATCCCAGGGGATTCCAGATCCCCTTTGTGCAAGTAGCTCGGCGAAAGCCAGGTCGTCGTCAAGGATAATTGATGCAGGCGGCTTTCTGAATCGAGCAGATGATTTTCCGCCTTGGGGGCGGCCAATGCTGTCACTCCTCTCCCTTGGGCGTGCAAACGCAAGTTTCTTCCGGTCATGGTGAGTGCTACTCAGCTGCTCTTTGGTGCGAGACAACCCAGCCCTGTGCAGAGGAGATGCTTCGTGAGCTCGGGACATTTCCATCTCCATAGGGCTAAGCTCCTCTTCGTCACTCTCGAACAAACTCTCACCCTCGAAATTATTTGGACGGTCTTCATCGTCTGCCATGGCCAGCAAATTGCGTTGGCTCCGACTACTTTCCTGCTGATGATTTCCCAGAAGCTGCGAGAGAGAATTGACCTTCCGTGTGAACTCTTCTCGCCGGGCAGACTCCCCTTCCCATCTGTCGTTCGACTTGAAAACCTCATTGGATTCCGGATCATCATCTGGCAACTCCTCCTTCTTCAACTCCTTGATCAAACCTTCTTTCCGCAGTTCCCCGGAGACGGTAGAGATGGATTCGCCTAAAGCTGACTCTAATCTTTTAATCCTTTCCCTGACGTCCATCTTCATGGGCTGCGCTGTAGGATCTATAAACTTACTACCCCCACCTTCGCCATCGTCCTTCTCGGATGCCATCTTCTTCAACCCTCTGGACTTTTGTAACTTATCTACTGTAACATTTTTGGACTCTGCTCGTCTTTGTGATGCTTTCGGAGCTCGGCTGATCCCGCCATGGCTCCGAATGGGAAATTTCGCAGTCTTCACAAGTTTTCCAGAAAGCTCCATGGCCAGTGCTTGAGCATCTTCATGAGGATCGCCGATGAAAGTTCTCGTTTTCGCCTTTTTCCTGCCACCAGCTGAGCTCCCGGCGGAAATGGAAGAGCTCGTCCCAGGGTCTTGCAAAGTGCGAATCTTCTGCAAGGCAGAGACCTCCCTCAGTAGAGGGAGCTGTGACTGCGACTGCCGGATATCCAACATCAGAACCCTGTAGCTCTGCAACAAGTCAAACGCACAAGCTCATCGCGCCATAATTCTTCATGGGTACCTCGCCAGTTGCAAAACCCTCACGACCAGATAGACTAACGGAAGCGAACCTGGAAGCTCAGCCACAAATCAGCACGAGAATTGTTTCTAAATAGATTCGATGTTTTGTCATATTTTGACACCGAGCAGGGAGACACACTACTGGGCACGTACACTAGCTAATTCCGAAGACTGCAGGGATGCTCCTTGAAGGAGTCACTGCTGTGTGTGCCCGTGGTTGTCTTAATTCCGGGGGACCAGCATTGTTGACTGGGAATGGTGTGAATCAAATCCGAGCCTAAACAAAGGACACTGCGGCTCCCCATTCGCAGAGTATAAAAATCGAATCCAGGTCGTACTTGAGGGCGGTATTCGCCAAGTCTGCGGCTATAGCTTGAGCCCAAATACGAATATCAATCCCAAATTGCGCTACAGATAACGATAGCAAGGCTTGACAAAGTTGTTCACAGACGTAGGTAACAATGGTAGCGGTGGTCATCAAAACGTTCTAAACTAGGCGTCAAACTCTATGGTTCCGAAGATGAGGTATGCACGCCACGTTCAAATGACATTGAACTCGAGCAGAAGCCTGAAGCCAGCTTGACCTGCACCGTGCAATCTACGGGAAGCACATGCGTCACATGCACAATGGGGAACAATGCCCTGAAACTGAAGTCTTGCCAAACTGGCGTGAATGTCAGGTTCAATGCCAAATCATCACCTTCATTGTGCACCTCTTTCGCTTGTTGGTTAGAAAGAACTAAAACAGATTGTTCGAACACAGACAGCGCCAATCGATCAGCTGAACTTGCGGGGCAATCCAAAACGGTCAAATTCGTCCCAAAGATCCGACATCGACCGAACAAGCGGCACTGAAGATGGGCCCTCCGCTACAGCACGAAGACACAATATTCAACTCTCTCCCGTGTTCATGTGTCACCGTAGTCTCTCATCGAAGGGAACCTAGGTCGTCTAAAACTGAAGGATGACAAAAATGTATGCGAGAGGAGCCTCTAAGAATTCGGTGGGATTTCATGAAGCAAAAAGACGTTTCCCAACGAGCCTTGCACAGTCCAAGGGTTCGTCGTTGTAAAGAGTAGGTATAAATCTGTTCACCACTACCGAAGATTGTCGAAGATAGAAAAAGCTTCGAACACGGAGTGCGACCTAGAGAGATGAAACGACGTGATCAAGCACGCAGAACTACCCAAATCCCTTGTCAAGCGGCAGCTGCTATTCTTACGCCGAGAGAGGATTGCGCGCGCGGTAGACTTGCGCGAAAGGTTCTAAACCTGCCAGATTGAATCTAACTCTGGCCAGATTCAAATTGGCTATCCAAGAAGAGTACACGACGATCAGATAAACCTGCCTGAGCGCGAGAGGAGGAGGATGTCGAAACATGACATGAACACCATTCAAGAGAACTATGTTACGTTGGCGACCAAGAACACGCACAACGCCTCGACCTACGTTTAGAGAAAGACAACCACGATTGACATGGACTGCTCAAGCACCAGTCATGCACCGAACTCGACATTGCAAACTACCTTCGAGCTCACGTCAACTTCTTTCGACCTTCGTTCCCCAGCCACGTGCCATCCACCATAGTCGGAGACGCCACTGCTCTCATCCACCACAACCGCGCTAACAACCAGACGCTCACACTCACAAATCCACGAGAGTAGCTCACAGCCCCAACCTGACCTCACCTCCCAACACAGGTCTACGGTAAAACACTAAGGAGGGCGATGACCCCGCCGAGTCACGTCGCCGCGACTGACTCGCATCCTTTTTCTGGGAATCCAATGCACGAGTACTGCCGATACACCGTCGCAACCATGCACCTGCCGCCTGCTAGGTCCCGACACTGACTGCTCTCGCGTTGGCTGCAAACTTTTTTTTTACGAAAATTCCGCCTCATTGGATTCACTTCCACCAAGACTCGCAAATCTCTGATCGATCGAAAACCACGCGCCAAGGACCGATCAACAACAATGGCTGCCCGTGACGAGAATCTCTCGGTGACGAACCCACCAGCTTCGACGCGCTCCACACTACCACCACCCTCACCATTGCTTTCATCGCAACAGTGACAATGTTTGTCATCCGCCCACCACCAACTGCGGTAAATTAAGATTTCTCCGACTCCCGAAACGAGGCATTTGACACCGAGACACCGCACGATCGAGGCGGAGTGCGTCAAAGTGAAACACCGAATACGATTTCGTTTCGGGCTAAATTCGTCCTCATCCCTCAAACTGTTGCGGGAAGCGCGGCTGCGTTCATCCAACCAAGTAAGGCCTCCTCGTGGATGAATGTGGGTTGGTGGGATGTAAGTTGAGCTATTCATCCGAAGCTCTCTCATAAATTCGTTTTCTTGGCCTGGAAGGGTCCTATAGCTGGACTAACCCATGGGTGGGTTAGTTTTCCACGTGGCATTCCACGTGTGCAGTGACCTCATCTTGTCCATCTGATATTGTGAGCTTTTGAAGTGGCAAGGGCCATGGTTGAAAATCATCCCATTAGGGTTAGAGTGTTCGATCAAATTTTACTTCATCCAACTTCAATGAACAATCTCACATTCTTTGCTTGCTCACTAGTTTGCATTGTTGCTTGTTTGCTATATCCCAAGGCCAACTAACCCTAAGTTTAGCCTTAATGGGTATTATTGTGAATTATGTAGAACAACACCATAATGTTGTTTGGTTCTAGCAATGGAGGTGGGTGTATTTGAGAAACATGAAACCATGGGATTGTTTAGTAAATACCTTGGGACCCACAATGGAACCCACACCCTTACAATACTTATTTCTTAATTGATAGGTGTACATTTTTTTATTATGTGCACACATGGTGGACTTCTTCATTGAGAAATGAAACATGGCTTGCAATGTAAAAGTTTGTACATCCACCTCCCTCACATTTCACTCTCCTAATAACAAGTATCATACATTTTATTTATTTGCATAACTTGAAAATAATACAAATAGCTGTTTGAGTTGTTAAACACAAAAAGATTGCACCTTTGGGGGTTTCAATGGAGAGTAAAATGTGTGTAGGAAAACCAACATGCTTGAAAGTTCTCCACATAGAAGCTAGATTGGTTTAACTTTTCATCAAACAATTGTGGAGGAATGCTGGAACTGTTGTGGCTAAAAAGTATGAAGAAAGAACAAGAGAAAGGGGGAAAAAAAGCTAAAAACATTCAAATGAATTAAATTTCATTCAATTAAAAGCCAAAACATGGTTTAAGAAATGTTGAATTCAATGAATCTATAAAATCAAGACGTTGAAACATCATAAATATATAAATATATATATATATATACAACATTCTCAATATTATTCAGTTGTTTTCATTTTGCAATACAAATAAATATATCAGTGTAGACTAACTGATGTAAAATTCACCAGTAGCCACTTAAGTACAGTTTTTTGAACACAGGATATGAGCTGACATGAGAGTGTTTTTATCTTACAAAACCCAAAAACCAAGGAAGACCAAAATAATCAATTAACTAAAATAAAAATACAATCTCATTAATTGGATATCAATCGCACGTACACACACATTTGATTTTGAATGCAAGTTCTAAGAAATAGATTTCAAATCTTTTAGTATTCATTTAGGAAAATATAGGCTCACAAAAGCTTGTCACACTATAATCACCACTTCTAAGAATCTTCAAGAATAAAAGGAATAAATGATTCAATGAAAAAAGGTTGTTTAACATTTACAAACAATGGACTTGCTTAAAGTTTGGTAGTTGTGTTCATGATTTGTGTATCAAAAAGAGACATCAGTTCATAAAAGTGCTTGGTTATCAAATAATTACTCCTACTTTCAGTATAGAATTGTGCCACATTAGCAAATGCAATTCACCAAACCTATTGCAAAAATGATTCACACCAAAATAAAATTAATACAGTTTAAGAAGAACATAATTGACTTAAATTCAATTTAACAATCCACATCAAGTAAAAACTATCACTATTGTAAATAATAATAAATAAAAACACTACCATGAGCTGATAAAGATGTATTTTCCAACACTCCCTGAAAGAGAAGTTAAAAGTATTTAACAGTCAATGAGAAAAGCGGGCAAGAGACATTACAATGTTATTCAACAAATCACAGTGAGCAGTTTGATTACACGTCGAAGATACTGATTTCATCATCTGACAATATTAATTAAAATGTCTTGTTTTAAGAACAACGGCTTTGTGGCAGTCACTATATTAAACATAAAGTCAATTATAATCTTACGTCAGAAAAAAGAATAGAAAAGAAGCTCTATCATTGCACTCACTAGTGATTGAAATATTGTTATTAATATTACTATATTGAAACGTGGCCGTTGTTTAATATCTCCAATCTTCCCTTTCATATCCTAAACATGAGTCGTAGAAATTAATTCATACCCAAAATGCATTTGTATACTTTACTTTTCCACATCAAAGTTAATGGGTCCACCGTGGCAATACATGACCGTGTGTGCCAAACTGGCTTGTCTTCTAGCCCTACCCTAAATACGACCCCCACTTCCAACGAAAAGTGAACTGAGGTGCTCGATCGTCCATGATTCGTCGTGGGAGCACGAGATCCTACGGGTTGGACGTAAAAAAGACGGTACCGCTGGACGAGAGTCGTATGAAGGAAATCCAGCCAAAATGAGTTACGCTTCGTATGTAGTATATATACATATATACAAATCCATACGTATGGTATACGCTTGAATCTAACTCTAAGGTAGATGCTTCATCATTCTCTTCGTGAGTTTCTAATCTTTCGAAGATGTGTATCATATGGTTTTTATTTTTTATTTAATTTCTTTATTTCTTTTGTCTTTTTTTTGTCGAATTTCAGATGTGTTTCTACAAGTGTTCAGTTTTGAAGCAGTAGATATAGCCATTGCTGTTGTACATTCACATTTTGGGTTGGAATACATTAGAATGCATTTCACATGACCCACATCAAAGAATAAAACAGTAACAATAAAATTATATATATATAATTTAGAAACAAGTTCATGCCTTCAAAAAATCAGTAATTCTAAATTTACAAAATGAAGCTTTAATTAAAAGTATTCAAAGAGGGTAATTATTATTGGGAATCATGATACATACATGAAAAGTATGTTATGATGCATTTGTCTGAAGTACCAGCAATGAAATAAGACATTATAAAATAAAAACGTTTAATGTTATTAATTTAACCATTTCTTTAAGCCTTGCAATGGATCAAATAGAAGTCTCATAATGGTGAAGACAATGTTAAGATAGAATTTGCACATGGTTAGGTTCTAATGGAGCACTTGTACTCATATGAAAGTATCTTATATTTAGCATGATACTATTTAATGTAGTTATGTCACATAGTAAGGTATTGTAACTTTGATTCTCCAAACATAAATATAATTTCACACTTACTTTTGGGCAAGTTTAATAAATATATATATATATTTATATATAAGCAAATCAAGTTTGTAAGTACATGATATTGACAGGATTGATGGTTTGAACAAAGACTTTCAACAGAAGATGTAAAAAATAACTTTAAATCAATGATTTTTCATACTCCTAAGAGTCAAAACAGCCAGATTTACAACATATTGTTAGAACAGAGGATAATTAGAGGCATTTTATTAAATAGAATATTATTATTTGAATGCACATTTGTGCATTTCGAATATGTTCTTCCTGGGCATGTTTCCAATGAACCACATGCAAGATAATAAAAAATAATAATAAAAAAAATGAAACAAGTAAATCCAGTGTTTAACGTCTTTAAATAGGGTACGTGAGAAATCCTACAGTTTGGAGTTTTCTTTAATGGTATGAATTTATTATTAATATTAGTAATGTTATTAAGTGTGCATCACAATAATAAACTATATGGTGCTAAAAACATGTTATACATAAAAAAAAACTTTTGCATGAGTATATTTGTAACTTTACAACTAGGCAATACATTGTAATTTCAATATATGTATCCATATCTTTATAAGTGTGTTTTTACCACTGCCAAAACAAAAGTTGTAATAGAGGTGAAAACTACTGGAAGAGACAATTGTACAAGTTTTAATGCTAAATGTTTTATTTAAATAAAATATGTCATCAACAATTAAGTACAAGAGATCATTTGATTACGATTTTGGATTTTGAAAAATTTCTTGAAGAAAGCACTTGACCAATTCAAAATATATATGTATATATATTATATATATATATATATATATATATCTTGCTTGTGGCATTTGTGTCAGTAAACAATGGATCGGTTGTTGACTTGAAATAATGGTAGAGTTTTGTATTGATTACCAAACAATTCATTGAAAATTGTGTATATACTTACATCATATAAATATTTATACAGTAGGAATTTTTTTTAGAGAAAAAAAAAATTAAAAAAACAAATCCTACAAAAAAAATCTTGAATTATGCAAAATTCCAAAACTTCATAATGAAAAATTAGTATCTACTTCAACCTCCTGAACTTGCAACCTTGTCTTTTTAATACGCACATAAATACATGTATTTCTTTATCTATATTTTTTTATTATTTGTTTTCTGAAATAAAATAATTAACTATTAGTTGTCAATTGACTACACATGACAAAGCATTTAAAAGAAAAACTACCATGTTGAAATTCATTCAAGTACGTGCATTTGGTGGATAGCCTACAATAGTGTATTCCTTTTGCATTTTAATAAATAATAATAATAATATCTCATTCACAATTAAAAAATAAATTTCTTAACTTATAGAAATCTATTTGGAGAAGGTGAATGTCCCAAAACACCCCCTCCTCACAAAATCTGACACCATTGACATTCATGCCTTATGCTCCAAATGGATTTTGGCATTTAAATTCATTAAATCCTTCTAGAAGCTACTATAGAAAGTCCAATTCTTTCATATATTACAAATGGGTGTCTCTTGGGCTTTGGCCCCAAATCCAAACAACCCATCTTCATGAATAA